TTGAGACGGAGTCTCATTCTGTCGCCCAGGCTGGAGTGCAGAGGCGTGATCTCGGCTCACTGCAACCTCCACTTCCCGGGTTCAAGTGATTCTCCTGCCTCAGCCTCCGGAGTAGCTGGGATTACAGGCACCCGACACCATGCCCAGCTAATTTCTGTGTTTTTAGTAGAGACGGGGTTTCACCATGTTGGCCAGGCTGGTCTCGAACTCCTTACCTCATGATCCGCCCACCTCAGCCTCCCAAAGTGCTGGGATTAGAGGCGTGAGCCACCGCGCCCGCCATGACCGTGCTATGAGTGCTTATCCTGGAGTCTTAGGATCTCTCTGGTGCCAAATGTGAGACGCCCATAGCCTCTCCCCACATCTCCAACCTGTCTCCCCCGCTAAATCGTGAGCTCTGTGGGAACTTTGCTCAGGCTTGTCTTGTTCACCAACGCTTCCCCAGTGTCTGGCACTGTGCTTAACCCCCTCCATGCCCTCGCTCAAGTTCAATCGATGTTTGATAGAAAGATGAAGAGAGACTAGTTCGGTCAGAGAGAAGAGCATGATCACAGGAGGAAGGCGTTCAATCAAAAGCTGTGTGCAGGGCCAGGAGCGGTGGCTGACGTTTGTAATCCCAGCACTTTGGAAGATCTAGGCGGGAGGATCGCTTGATCTCAGGAGTTCAAGACTAGCCTGGGCAACATGGCGAAACCCTGTCTCTACTAAAAATACAAAAATAGCTGGGCGTAATGGCGTCAGCCTGTAATCGCAGCTATTCGGGAGGCTGAGGCAGGAGAATCGCTTGAACCAGGTAGGTGGAGGTTGCAGTGAGCCCAGGTCGCGCCACTGCACTCTAGCCTGGGCGACAGAGCGAGATCCTCCCTCAAAAAAAAAAAAAAAAAAGTTGTGTGCAGGTAACAGCAAGTAGTCCCAAAAGAGTAGACCGAGGTGTGTGCAGAGGGTGATACTCGTGATATTCACTTCTGTATAATTAGCACCTTTGGACATCTGCGTCAGGCTCCATACTGACAAAGACCGCACTGGCGACCACAGTAGCGCCCTGCCTGTACGGTGATGGTACCCAGCATTTAAGTGTGATAGAAGCCACACACCAGCCCCAAAAGAAGCACCCACAACAACCTATAATTTGAAGGGGGTCACGGCCTCAGAAGCCCAGCCATGGACCACGGTTTAAGTACCCCGAGTCCAGCTGGAACAATAAACATGAAATGAGCCGTGACAGAAATAAGGAAGGAGCCGACAGCTTCAGAGGCGGTGGCGAGGAGAGGGCCTTAGAGTCAGGGAGGGGACGACAGTGGGCCCAAACTTCTCTGGGGCCCAGGAAGAGAGGACCTCCTTCCCTTCACCAGGCTACCGGGAACCGACTGCAAGATCTTGGCAAGAAATGCCGTGATCTCAAGGGCGGCACCGAGAGATGACGCAAGTGGCGTGCCAGGCTGCGCCAATGCGGAACGGCCCCGCCTCCGCCCAATGCATTGTGGGACCTAAGGGCGCCTGTTGGACACCTAATCTCGCGAGAGAGCAAGATCCACCCGGCACACGGCGGTGAGAACGGGGTGGGCCCTCCTCAGCAAGAGTCCCGCCCCCACGGCGGGCATGGGCCAATCATAATACCTCTCCTTGTTGGCCGCTGGGATTGGTCTGAGGGTGCACATGACCGGACTGCGGGACACGTGACCGAGACGCCGTCGATCTTGCGACCCTCCTGGTTCAATCCGGGAGCAGAGGTTTTGCTCCGGCGGGAAAGGGCTGGAGAAACCTCGGTCTGAGGCCGGCGTTCGGAGACTCACGGATTTCGGAACAGCCGAGCTAGCGGACTTCTCGCCTGGCCCTCCGCTCGCGGCCGTGGGCAGGGCGGGTTAGGTCACTTGCTAAGGAAAGAACCCAACCAGTTTGTCACGTGTTCCTCTCCCAGTGACTTGTACCTCAGTTTCCTTGCCAGTGAAGTGGGTCCAGTGCTGCCCGAAAAAGGTTGCTCTGGGGCTTGCCTGAGACGGGACGCGTGGAAATGCCCTGCCGAGCGTAAATGGGGCGATGGCCTCGCGGGACGGAGCGGCCTGGGAAAGCTCACCGTGGGTCAGGTTGCGGAGCGGAGCCCCAGGGCCTCGGCTGACTTAGTGGGTATGTGGCGGGCCCGACGCCACTAGGTGTGGACCACTGGCTTTTGTTATCTTTACGACCTCAGTGAGGGTCAGAAGTGGCCGCGAGCCCTGTAGGAGAGGCCTGGCTGGGGGCGCACAGCCTGGAAGTGGAGAAACACGGCTGGACCCTGCTAAACCCACAGACCTCCGCCAGGTCGCTCTTGCGAGGCAAGAAGCGAGGGTTGGCGAGCCAGCTGGGAGTACCCACCACCTCCATGCCTTTTGGAGTCACCCAAAGCTCAGCGACAGCCCAGCCTGCCCAAAATACTGATGAGCCTGGAGGCCAGGGCCCTGGCTTCTCAGTCAGGGTCTCCTCCCCATGGCGGCAGAGCTGTCTGGCGTTTTCAGCCCTTTATACCAAGGGCAAGAGGGCCGCAGGCCAGAGCCAACAAAAAAGGAGAAGCAGAGGGAATGAGAAACCTGGAAGCTGGAACGGGAAGGAGGGAGCGAAATGGGCAGAGGCCCAAAGAAAAACAACAACCCCCCTCCTAAGCTTAGTTCATTTAACTCTATAAATACCTACCGAACATGCCTACTGGGTGCCAGGCGCTTTTTCTAGGCACTGGGCAGCTAGCATTAAACAAGAGGCAGAAATCCCTGCCTTCAACAAAATCTATGCTGTGTTGAAGTAAGTGCTACAGGGAAAAGCTAAAGAGGGAGAGAGGCGAGAAGGGTATGGAGGGCAGGGAGACATTTACGAAAGAGGCATAGAGGGCTTTACTGAGAAGGCGACTAGGAAGGAAGCGAAGGAAGGGCCTTGCAGGCCAGGCTCATTGTGTGCAAGGGCCCTGGAGTGGAAGTGATCATGCAATGGCGTGAGCGTGGGTTCGAGTAGTCGGTGATGGTTAGAGAGGTAATACATGGCCACCAAAAGGACTCAGTGACAGTCATTGCAGGATTCTAAGAACTGACATGGTCTCTGCGATGTAGCACTCTGCTAGTCTGTTGAGAATTAACAACTCTGAGGCCAGAGTAGGGGCAGAGAGCCCCTGGAGGATCAGGGGCTGCAGAGATAATCCGGAGATGAGGGTGGCTTGGACCACCGTGGTAGCAGTGCAGAGAGGGAAAGGGAGGTGGGTTTTGGAGGTATTCCGAAGAAAGAATTGGATGATTGCCAGTTCCATGTTACTAACCATAGGTCCACTGTCCTGGAAACCTTTCTTCTTGAAGGCACCTTCCCTTCACTTCTGCTTCAAGTTCCCATTCCACAGAGGGACAGAAACTCAATCTCAGTGCATCCCGGATCCCACCCTTCAGTGCTGGGGGTTGTGGCAACCAAGTCATGTGTGGTAGGTAAGGGTGGGAAACCTGTCCCCTGTCCCCTTGGCCATCTGCACTGGCATCCGCAGAGGCCATCTGACTCCACGATGGTCCACCTAGAGCATAGCATGTCCTGCTCCACATCCAGCTTCCCTTCAGCTGCCTCCACACCTGCTGCTTTCTAATAACTGCCAGGTGGTCTTGCAGGGGCCAGCCCCGTGGAGTCTAGTGGGTGTTCTTTTGTGTGCGGAGACGATAGATCACAGGAAAGAAAGTCATGAGGACACAGAAGAGAAGAATTCAGCTGGGCCTGGGGACCACTGCTACCGAGTCTCGGAGTCCAGCAGTGGCCCAGAACACCTGGACACACTGATATTTATTGTATACAAGGCAGGGGGGCAGAGTCAGGAGAGTGACTCACCTACTGTGATTGGTAGGGGTCAAGCAAATCACATTCTTACAATACAGGGAACCACGTGGGTACAGTACAGAGGGCCCCTCCCTCGGCCACTGCAGAGAGGGGAGGCACATATGTCAGTATCTTTCTATGCACTTCTCAGAGAGATCAAAGGGTTTTAGGATTCCTCTATTCTAAGAATTTACGAGGGAGTATCGGGTGGGAAAGTGGAGCATGAAAGTGGACAAGGATGGTGACCATCGGAGCACAGCACCATGAAGAGGTGTTTAAGCCCCTGGATGTCTGCGGGCCGGCCTGGCTAGTGTCAGACCTTCCTCGAGAGCCAGACAGAGCCGGACGGAGCAGTGTTCTCTGAGCTCCACAGTGAAAGAGAAACTCCCCCTCGCGCCTGCTAAGCAACGGTGCCTCCCCAGGTGCTGGGCTGGCGTTACTGCAAGGCCTGCCTGCTAAGCAACAGGCCTTCCCAGGCATTGGCGCTACCACAAGGCGTTTACCCTCGTCTCTTCATCGCTTCTCACAATGTTCTTTCAGTTTCTAATTATATTTCACCCGATTATTTCTACACTATAAGGCTAAAAATGTTCCCACACTAATACTAAAGCAAAGGTTAATAACAGAATAATAATGTAATAAGATTGAGTATATAATTGATTATGTGATTGTATCCAAGTCATTGCTGTAACTAAGTAATCGGTAAATACATTTGGTACCATTGCTATATCTAATCAGTTATTTATTATGCTGGGACAGATTGTGCCTTCAGTCTCTTGCCATGGCACCTGGGCAGCTTTCTTCCCACATGGTCTCAGGCCTTCTTCCCAGGAAGCCCCCAGCAGCTTCCTTGCTGTTCTCACTGAGCTGGACGCCTCTCTGGAGCAAGAAGGAGCTATGCCCTTTGCTCCCAGAACCCCAGACCACCCTCAATGTGTCTATCATCTTTGCCCAGGCCAGGGAAGCTGCCCCTGTTTAAGACCCCAGACCTCACCTTCCTGCCTGTCCTGTGATTCTCCCATCCCTGACCCTACCCTGGCCTGTGGAATATTCCCAGAGAAACTCGCTCTCACGTGTCCACTCCCCTCTCCCCCACAGCTCACTCTCAGCTCCGAGCCTGCCCCACAAGGCTATGCAGGTGTTTGGTGAGCCAGTGGGGGTGAAATTGGCACATTGCTTGTCCTGGCTGGGGCCTGCGTACAAAGAAGTGGAGAGGCGCCTTTTCCTAATCTCCACAAAGGCACCTCGGAGCCACCATTGGCCTTGAGTGCTCACAAGCCTCTGGAAGGTCAAAAGCGAGGAGCTGGCCCTTGCTCTTCCGTGTTCTGTTGTAATGGTCCTCGCTAAAGGCAATGGTGAGCTCTGGCCCAGCTGCCTGAATGAGGGGACATTTGGAGGGGACATTGTACTGTTCATAAAAAATATTATTTCCTTTCTTTGCTGGGAAGTGTCCCTCTGAAAGACAAGGAATGTTGTACCCTACTCCAGCACCCATGATCTGGGCCCCGAGAGCCTCACCAGTGACAATTTCAGCTTCCTTTGTTAAATAGACATTACTATATAATTTTATATATTTTTTATCATATATTTTCTCACTCTGTCACCCAGGCTGGAGTGCCGTAGGGTGAACTCTGCTCACTGCAACCTCCACCTCATGGATTCAAGTGATTCTCCTGACTCAGCTTCCTGAGTAGCTGGGATTACAGGTGCATGCCACCATACCAGGCTAATTTTTGTATTTTTAGTAGAGACGGGGTTTGCCCATGTTGGCCAGGCTGGTCTCAAACTCCCGACCTCAGGTGATGTGCCTGCCTCAGCCTCCCAAAGTCCTGGGGTTGTAGGTGTGAGCTACCATGCCCAGCCTATAGTTATAATTTTATGTATTTATTTTGAGACACAATCTCCCTCTGTTGCACAGGCTGGAGTGCAGTGGCACAATCTCAGCTCCCTGCAACCTCCGCCTCCTGGGTTCAAGCAATTCTTGTGCCTCAGCCTCCCAACTAGCTGGGATTACAGGCACGCGCCACCACACTCAGCTAATTTTTGTGTTTTTAGCAGAGATGAGGTTTCACAACGTTGGCCAGGCTGATGTGTCTTGAACTCCTGTCCTCAAGTGATCTGCCCACCTATAACTTTAAGCAATGGTCTCGTTCTCCTGCCCAGGCTTGAGTACAGTGGCCTGAACATGGCTCACTGCATCCATGACCTCCTGAGCTCAAACGATCTTCCCGCCTTGACCCAGGAGGTGCTGGCACGAGCCACCACGCCCCATGTGTTCAGATTTTCTTCGTGTTTCTTTTCTGTTCCAGGATCGCATGCAGGACACCACGTCCCATTTAGTTGTCCAGCACAGTTTTAATTCTGTAGGTGCAGTATTAAGAGAGGAGGCTGAAGACGCACATACTTGCTTAATTTTACCTTCGTTACATGCTGGGGATGGCAGCAGCAGCTTGCAGCTGAGTTTTGGTGTTCTTCCTGACGGTGACAGCCGAGCAGGCACTAGGTCCTTGCAAAATGCGGGACGCTAGGCGGGGTATTCACCTTGCACAGTGTCCCTTCTCACACCGCCCCTCAGGTTGGGAGTGATGGTTTAATGTGTACGGAATTTCTCTTTGGGATGAAGAAAGTGTCTGGAAATAGACGGTGGTGATGGTTATGCCACTTTACAACTTTACTTAATGCCACTGAATTATACACTTCAAATGATTAAAATGGTAAATTTTCTCTTTTACCACAATTTTTTAATCAAGAAATAAAGATGCAACTTAAGACGTATGCTTTTTGGCTGGGCACAGTGCCTCACGCCTGTAATTCCAGCACTTTGGGAGGCGGAGGCGGGCAGATCACAAGAAGTTCGAGACCAGCCTGACCAACGTGGTGAAAACCCATCTCTAGCCGGGCGCGGTGGCTCAAGCCTGCAATCCCAGCACTTTGGGAGGCCAAGGCGGGTGGATCACGAGGTCAAGAGATCGAGACCATCCTCGTCAACATGGTGAAACCCCATCTCTACTAAAACTACAAAAAATTAGCTGGGCATGGTGGTGCGTGCCTGTAATCCCAGCTACTCAGGAGGCTGAGGCAGGAGAATTGCCTGAACCCAGGAGGCGGAGGTTGCGGTGA